TGGCACGTGTTGTGCGACATCAACCCTTCACCACAAGCCGCGTATTGAATACCCATTGGCTTCCAACAGAGCTGTGAGCAACAGAACAGTGAGAAACCACTTGAAGTCGATCGGCATTAGGGCACGACGGGTACAGTCCGTTTGATTCAGAAACGGACCCATGAATTGCAAATTTTATCATTGTGCAAAATTGCCACATAAATAGAAATAGTACACATGTTTATCATTTACTAATACCCAACAGCTTTCTTATATTTGAAAATTTTCCGGACTCCACCAAAATAGTTGTTTAAGAAACTAACTATCATCATTGAAAACGCAAAAGTTGTTATCTGTCGCGGCGGGGTGAAACCGCAGAAACGGAACAGCCAGTCATGGCGGTGAACATCTCAAAATCTATTCCGGGAGACCTGTCGGTTCCTCGTCTGTGGTAGTGTCATAGTCACGACTTAAAGGGGTGACAAGTGGTGACACAGTTGCATGTTGTAAGCCATCCCGAGACCAGTAACCTTGTTCAATGACGTTAGCTACCTTGTTGACACAGTTTTGCCAAGTTTCAGTCGTGATTTTGTTAAGGGATTCCTTAACCAAAACCTCTACGTCACGTAATCTAAAAGTTGTGTTTGATCTGGCAACATCTCCTTTGACAATACCCCATATCATTTCAATGGGGTTAAGGTCACAGTGATAGGGTGGAAGTCGCAGAATATCGTGACCCTTACTTTTTATGTAACTGTCAACTTTGTAGAAAGGTTCACCTTTGTGGGTTTTTATGATCTCATATAGCCGAGGCTTCGTTGCCTTTGAAGGCCGTGCGATCTGAATATTGTCGAGCCATGATATCATATCACCTTTTCGACTGTTCGATGTCGGGGCTTTACTGTCGGGGTCCTGCACGCTGTGGTATGGGGTATTGTCCATTTCGATAAAAGACTTCTCTGGTAGAGCTGGTACCAACTTGTTTTTAACCCAATCGAGGAAAACCGCACCATTCACCTCGGAATGGTAGTCTCTGTTATCTGTGGACTTTGCCCTGAATACCAAGTCGCAGCCAGGGAGAAAGCCTTTGCTGGAGCAACCAGCATGGAGAATGATTAGTCTCTCTCCTTTCCCTTGAGGCAGCTTTCTACGTGACCCCTGATCACCCCCATCGGGTACCCACTGACTGCTGGCAGTGTGTGAGGCATTGACCCAGGTCTCGTCCAAGTACACTGGCTCGAACCCTTCCTCGCGCTTCTTCTTTATAACCCTGAGAAAATTATTTCACAAGCGAACGATATCAGGGCGTTCACAGAGTACTGACCTATTCTTCACCGAAATTTTCTTATAACGATACCCGAAAGAGTGTAAGAGTCGCCAGAGTGTGTACTTTGATACTCTGGGGTTGTGTTCTTGCTTCAAATGCTTTTTTAAAATTTTCAGCGACATGTATTTGTTTTCAGAATAGAGCTTGTTGATAGACTGCCTTACAAGGTTCTTTTGAAAGTTGTCCAAATGTTTTAATTTGTGTGATTTTGACACGACCCCTACCTGCTTCGCATCACCCTCACAATATGTCTGTGTTCCAGAACATTTGTCAGTACCCTTGCTGATACTCCTAAAGCTTTTGCTGCCCGCTTACGGAATTTATGAATGGCATAAAATGGTTTGCCCCTTTCGGCAAAAAATCGTACACTTTAATCATCAACTGTTTCACGTCAGCATTCAACTTCATTTTTCATCAGGCATGTGTCTCCCGTGCACGACGAGATAGTGGCTGTTCCGTTTCTGCGGTTTCACCCGCCGCGACAGATAACAACTTTTGCGTTTTCAATGATGATAGTTAGTTTCTTAAACAATTATTTTGGTGGAGTCCGGAAAATTTTCAAATATAAGAAAGCTGTTGGGTACTAGTAAATGATGAACATGTGTACTATTTCTATTTATGTGGCAATTTTGTACAATGATAAAATTTGCAATTCATGGGTCCGTTTCTGACTCAAACGGACTATAATTAAGCGTCCAGCACTAACTAATCTCCATAAAAGAGCCCGTTTGGATTCGTTTTTGGCCCGACGTCAGTGGAATTTGACGTCGTGGAGGAAGGTCCATTGGTCGGACGAGAGCCCCTTCCTTTTATATGTCACAGATGGCCGTCAACGTGTTTGGAGGACCAAAAACACTGCATATGTGCCAAGAAACATGCAGTCTTCAGTTCCGTTGGGAGTGTGCGTGTGTTTGTGTGTGTGTGAAGAGGCACTTATGGTCTGGGGATGCCGTTCCTATTACTGTAAGCTGGATCTTGTCTTGCCTTGGCTACTCGTCCTTTATTCATGGATGACAACGCTCGGCCTCACCGTCCCCGTGCTGGGAAGGAGTATCTTCAGAACAACGCCATCACCCAACACCCCTGGCCTGCTATGAATTTTTTAGAACATGTCTAGGACATTATTGGACGTCGAATCCAAAAACTGGAACCTGTCCACAAAATCTTGCTGGTTTAAAGGCTCAATTGCATCATGAGTGGCAGCAGCTGCCTTTGGAATGAATTCGACGACTCACTGGAGGCATGAGGAGAAGGGTCGACGCCGTCATCCGGGTTCATGGCGGGTACACTCTCTACTGACATTTTGTTGGTGATTTGTCTTCTTGATACCTCGCAGAACACTTTCTGCCAGACATGAACTTATCTGTGTCTTTGTCGATCTCCACAGCACCAAAGTTGTGCTGAAATTCCTACTTCAGAATCACATGTCTAAAAAAAGATTAAAACATGTTATCACCTTTTACCATTGTGTGTTATTCATTACTCAATAAGTTCAACTTTCATGATAGAGTAGTGCTGGACCCATTCCTGACTTGATATGAAGGCAGTTTTCCATCCCACTTATCCAACGTTGGCAAAATCGGGTGTCGCTTAATTAATTTCCATGTGTATACTTGTGACAAGTCTGGTCTGATCACTGACTTTGTGTGCTGTATTAGGTGCCTGACTCTGAGGGTGTGGGTTTGAATCCTGCATGCGACTCAACCTTACAAAAGTTCCAGAATCTGTACTTTACTCGGAATGTCTAATGCCAAATATAATATGTTACATCTGACCACTTTCTAAATGGTATTGTGTATTCATAGATTTCAGCCAGGAGAGTTGTGCCAATTTACACTTGTCAGAAGTGTACACAAAGTATGTGATCTTCAAATTTGTGGTATGCTGCAGTGACTGTGTGTACTGGTGATGAGGTGCCTCACTTTCAATGTGTGGATTCAAATCCTAGATAAGAGTAGATAGATAGTTGAATCTGTGCTTTAATGAGAAAATGTTATCACAAATAGATGTTGCATTTGACACTTTCTAAAAATCATCATAACAATACCCTTTTGGGTAGAACTGAGTAAAAAGTACTACATGAAAGTGAGAATAAGTTTATTTTTATTCTTGGATGAACACAGTGAAATATTTAAAGAAATCAGCGGAAAATTAAAACACATAAAACTGCTAAAGTACATGTATGCTATGAGTTATTGTTTTTTTTTTTTTTACAAATCAAGGAAACAAAAATGTAATGTCTAAATTTCTCTGTCAAAATCAGAAATACAGGTTACAGTGTATTATGTAACAAAATAGAGGCACAATGGTCCATTGTGCATTTGAAATTTTTCGGAATATTTGCAACATAATGATAAGCTGATGAAGGTAAGAATATCAGGGAAACCAAGTGAATTCAAAGGTGAGAGATATTTGAACATCCCTACATCTGTGTTGAATACTGATACAAAAACAATAGATGAGGACCGTACATTTTTAGCCATGAAACTGAACCGTATCAGTGCAACTCACCTGGATGTGTAGACAAACCAATCTCATTAAATGGTCAGTCAGTAAACATTTCTACTTGTACATCAAGCATGAAATAATTCCTGAGTGTTATGTCCCAAGTTTAGTTCACATAAGATTCAACTTCCAAAACAATAGACCTCCATACAGGAACTCCTACAATGCAAGAGATGCACTGGTTTCAGTCACGATTGTATTCAAGGCAAATGGAAGAGAAAGCTGTTTTCTGAAGGATGAGTTACAAAATACTTATGCCATCTTGATAAGATAAGAAGCCAGTGTTGGCTTTATTGTAATATGGATGTTTCGGTCACATAAAGCTAATCACTCTCTTGCAGCCAGACTAGCACCCTTGTCGCTTCGCACATTTGTTTTTTCATTGATGTCAATTTGGTCCATTTGTTCTCATCTTATCAGAATACTTTTGAAAGGTTTTGTTTTCACACAAGAGAAAAATCCAGTCAAGCTTGCTACTGTGGTGAAGAGTAAGGTGAGCAGAGGTGAGTAAGCATTCACAATCAGTTGTTTTAGAACAGTTAACATACCGTCTCTTAATTTACGAAAATTTCTGAAAGCTTTGATAAGCAAAATAATATCAAATTGCACATACACTCCAAACTAACTTTGCTGGAATCATATACACAAAATTTTACCTTCATAAACTCACAGGTTTCATATTTATACAAAAACTCCAAAATGCAACAATAATCATGGCATTTTTTATTTTAAAGGGTAATGAATTGCTATATGCTAACAAATGTATCGTGTCATATTTCATTATGGCTAAAAGCAAAAAAAGTCTTGGTTCTCAGGCACCTCCACATAACTTGTTCTTATTTCAATTTGTTAAAGAGAAAAAGAAAGGTGAAATATTTAGTGACTCAAATACAAGATCCTGGAAGTGAAATCCTGCATTACCAAAAATATCATAATCAATATCATTGCTTAAAGGCACTTTGAATGAAGTGATAGCAACATTTTACTAATGAATATGTTCATTTTAAGATGAGCTCATAGGGAGTAAATGCAATCTATCAGTAAATGGGGCATGGTGGGCGAGCTGGCTAAGGCGACACGCTAGTGATCCAGTGAGCTTAAGGTGTCAGGTTGTCACAACCCCTAGTGTACAGTACACAACCCTGTGCACTTAAAAGAACCCACGATTCCGTTGGTATATGACCAGATGGTGGCCACATAAATATGTTCAAACACCTAGTTGCGGGTACAGCAAGGTGCAGTAAACTTGGACAAAGTACTGTGACTATGTGTCCCAGTCCACCCAGCTGTGAATGGGTACCTCGCAAGGATGAGAAACCTGCAATAATTAGGTGCGCCTAGTAGCTGCAAGAGTTGTATGCTCTCCGGGGAGTTGTGCTAGTTGCCTGGATATGTGTGCAATATAAATATCCTATAATTAAAAAATAATAATAACTTCACAGGATTTAGCTGAATTTATGTAAATAATTTTATGTGGAGAAATAACTAACAGTAATAGTAATCGCAAAAATGAAAACTTTCAACTTGATTTAGAGCTTTGATGAAATTTCTTCACATTACTTGTGGTTTCAGAAATGTCAAAAGTGGAAAAGAACCAGTCAAGCCAAACATAATATTATGAAGATTTGTAATTTTTGATAATTACTTCAATCAAAGGTACATTTTCCTTCACGTAATTCATGGTACCTCAGAACCAAGTCTTTCTAATACAAGCCTTGAATCCACAGCATCATAGACAGTAGGACATAAACTATTTCCTTCATGTTCAATGAATTCAGTGATTCTCCTCAAACAACTCTTTCTGAGAGTTTTTCTCGTCTTCGAAGGAACTTGCGGACATTCCATTCTGTATGGTTCATCATGTGAGGGCCACTGTAAATTCCGAGGACTGTCATATTGTCTGCATACTCCAGGTCTGGCAGCAGCTGGAACAGTTTCAAGGAAAACTATGATGTGAGGTATCAACATAGTGACAAACACTTGTCAATTTCAAGTTATGATCAGAGATATGGTCCAGACAAACACACTACTATGAACAGAGTCAAAGTCAAACTTGTTACCATGGAAACAGGAAACAAATTCATTTTCTTAAAATGCCCAAATAGCGAAAGGCACCACTTCAGTGTATGGTTACCACAAGTAACAGACTTGGATGGAAAGTCTTTGAATTTTTGGAGCAGTGTTCCAGAAACTAAATCAACCCCTCCCTTTTGTGATTAAGACTAAATGGTTTCCATGGAAATAAAAAAAAAAAAATAAAAATGCCCCAAATCCGCAAAGAGCAAAAGACACCACTTTGGGATCTGTTTGATATATCTTTCAAGTTTTGTTGAAAGATATTAAACGGTTTTCGAGTTGTGCTCCGGAGAGACGAAGTCCACTCGTCCCAATAAATATGCCTAAACTATCAAACAAGACCAAACAAAGGGAATTTTCAGTGATAAGATGGTAACCTAATTCATGGAAATAGTAAAAGAACATAGCTTCTCCATTTTGCAAAGTTTGCAAAGCATGCCAACCAGCAATCAGGTACAGAAAGAAATGTCCAACTTTCATCCTATGTTGTGAAAGTTTGAAGCAAAACTGTTCTATTTGAAACAAATTCCCTGACCGACCTCTGTCTTCCAAAAACAATTTAGTTGATGTGATCCTGCACAACTAGACTGGACAGGAAGATATTCACTTCCTTCCAGGGTGATGTCAGGTATTGATCTCTTGTTCCAACAGTCCAATCCCTGAGGTCAATAAGTGTCATAGGACTTTCAGTTGCGCATGGCTTCCGGGTAGACACGTTTTCCTGGCTCTCGCTATTAGCCCAGCGGATAAGTGATCAAATTGTGCACTTTGTGTTACAAGCATGAAATTTGGCATGATTGTGGCTATACCCTTCTTATTTAATAAAGATCGAGAGGCCTCGCAGATTTTTTATATATTTTTCATAATTTGGGGGGAAAAGTGAAAAATAATCATTTTTCTACTATTTTCATCAGAACTTCTTTTAAAATTCTCCAATTCTCATAAGTCATATCAAATTGTAGGAAATTCATAGCTGATCATTTTCCATCTATACATGCTTTTTTATCCTTAACGGATATGCACCAGGGGCATATAGATTTCTTTTCCCAAAATCGAGCCCTGCAATAAATGATTTTTGTTGTCCAGTTTGAAGCTAATTCAAATATCAAATATATACAGACCCTAAATGAAAGAGTGCTCAGGTTTTGGCACTTTTTAAATTCAAAGAAGACTGTTCTTGACATTTTTGTGTTTTATGATAGCAGAGACAATTTTACATACTGTAGTAATTGGAGCATATCACCATCAGACACTTCAGCACACTGCAACAATCCTTGAGAGTTCAGTAGAATAATTTCATATTATGTCATTGCTCCAAAACCCAGGAAATGATACTAAGGTAAGATAATTTCTATTTACTTTAATTTTAACAGTATATGAGGCCTGTTGACTTTCACCAGAGGCCATATACTTTATTACATGATAACATTTTCTGATAAATATACTGTTATCGCAACAGCATAAATGACACTAGTTATTTGTGATTGAAAATAATTCACAAAACAAAGAGTTACTGTAGAAAACGAAAACAGTTCATCACCCATATGTATTTGAGGTATATTTTAGCAAGATATTGTATAGAAACAAAATACACAAAATAATATGAAACATCTATCCATATATTTTATGGTATAGTTGTATTAAATAATTATGTAAAATTGTTAGTTTTCCACATCACTGAAAGACAGTAATTGAAACTTTGTTATTTACACTTTGCTAATGCATTGATATATCCTTAGTGTCTTTACCCATGACCATTTTGGAAAACCCCCAAAACTAATCATATTATTAACAATAATTAACATATGAAAATGTTTAAAGTTGTAACCAGCTGTGAAACATTAAGCATTACAAATCTATCATCAGTATTCACCAAGGATTTTAATTTTTTGCATAAATTTATATATGTAATTCAAATTGTTCTGAAGTGAGACTATAAATCTGGCATACACGTAATATGAACACACAATTTATTAAATCATCCCTAATTTCACATGAAACTATAATTGATACTATATTTTAGTATATAATATAATACCTATGCATCATGCATCATATTTTGTCACAATCAGAAAAGCATGAATGTTATTTTGAAACACAAATTTTGTCGCGCACCTGTTGTCGAGGTCGATGTTTGTAAATGTTGTTGTGTCTGGCAAAGTAAAAAAACTAACAAACTAGCATCAACATGCCTCACAATTATATGTTTCTTATCTGCATAATCAGTGTAGAATAAAGTGGTGGTCCTAATATCAACAAATGTTCAAATAAAAGATACTGAGAAACTTGCATCAACTGCTGTTTCCGGGTCACGGGAGCATACAAGGTCAAACAGGTTCCGTGATTTGCCAATTATATAGAATATTCATAAATTATATATTTTATTCTGCAATTTTCATGACATGACACATTGGAATAAACGCAATAGTGCCATTTGAATAAAATATGTGAAGACATTGAACATACGATTTGTTTACGACCAACGTTTTCGATTATTTATTTTTCAGAAATGTTTTTTATTTTGTCGTTGCACTGATAATTGCCGATACAAATGTACAAATTTAAAGTCAGATAATTATGAGATATCGGAAATAAGAATATTGAGATCGGTTTGCGTTAATTTAACGATTTATTCAGGTTCCTTATATGAAAAACATTCCACTGTCAATCAAGTAATTCAGGTAAATTCAGAAAAATTTACATTATTTATCTTTGCCTTGTCATTAACCTCTGCATGGTTGAAATTATTAGGATATTTTTAGATAATAATGTTCATTTTTCTATCTAGTATTCATGTGGGATGACAAGACTTTATGGGTGATCAACTTCTTTATTTTAACAATGGCGACGTTTCGGTATAGATTCTTATACTGTTTTCAACCATATGGGGGAATGAAGGGGTACACCAGTTTATACACAAGATAAGATAATGCGATAACAATAACAATGGTGGAAAAACAAAGCATCAAAGAAAGTTACATGATGAGATGCAATAGCATGATGAGAAGCTAAGATAACATGAATGAGATGAGTGGGATTACCATGACAATTAGTGACTGTAAGTTATAAATGCCAGGAAATGTGCAAATAGCAAAGGGCATCAATTTGGGATAAGTGTCATATATCTGCCAAGTTTTGTTGCTCTGGAAACGAAGTCCACCCCACCCTTTTGAGAATAAGTCCAAATTGTTTCCATCGAAGGGGGTGGGGGGTGGGAAGAGAAGTCAGTAGTTGACAGATGTACCATTTTCTTGATCATTTAGAGAAAGTATCCTTTGTAAACAGCCATATTACCTTGGGTGTCAGCAGAAAATACTGGGAGGTGGACTTTTTACAAACTGTCTGGACAACCAGCTCAAACACTTTCCTCTCGTTGATAGGATCCATACCCTGGAAAACAGGAAGCGAGAAATGTATGTATATTACAAGAACAAAAAAATCAGCATAGAGCGATATATAATACCGTAACAAGAAAGATATTTGCATTATATTCACATACAGGAGCTTACCTATATTTTGCTCTTGCAAACATATCTGTACCCGGTACACAGCAAGAGTCCAAACTGACAGCAACATTGGTGCATAAAGATTGGTACTCATACAGCAGTGCATACAGGGTAATCATGAACACTATCAGATTCCCTACAAAGTATTACTTAGGATTGTTTATTGATTTATTTTAAAAATGTAAGAAATTACATAAATTTCTTTAAATATCAGTAAGAGACTGAAAACTATTCATTTGAATGCACCCATGTACTAAATCTATGAGTTCGAGTTTTCTCTTGACCCTACTCTATCTTTGTGCTGCCAACAGACATGGAATACTTGGTGGGTCTTACACAGCATCTGAATAAGCATGTGATATGTAGAACATTACATTATACATACATTATTTGTTTGTTTTGATGGTGGTCTGCAAATAATTGAGTCTGGACCAGACATTCCTTTGGGGCTCTCATTTCTTAAATATTTTAATGGGGGGGCTCTCTTTTCTTAAATATATTAATTCATTCGCTTTGGGCAATTACCCACTTAACACTGGATCCTTATCCCCTAAGTTTTCAACCAGAGCTCAGGTTACAACCGGGTCTGCAGACCCCACTTTAGCAATCAGAGTCCGCAGACTCAACACATCTCTTCGGCCGAGCCGCCGCAGCGGTTCCAGAACAGTAACCTAAAGTACTGTCGGAAATAGAAAAAAACTGTATTTTCTCATTTATCTCTACAATTTATGTAGTTGATATGTGCAAGTGTGAAATATCTGTCAAACTAAGTTCGGACTAACTACAAGTCTCAGTGGTAGGGACATAAGAAACATAGAAAAAGGACTTTAGGCCAAAATTAAAAACTTGTTTGTTTGCCCATACGCGACTGACCCATGAAAATGGCCCCGACTCAAAATATTTTATCATGCAATCTCAGCTAGTTTTTTTTTTCATCTTGACATCCAAAGGTGTAGCTACCAACATAAAAAATGCCCGGGCTTACACATGATTGTTGCTAAAAGGGTTTGGCAAGCCCTCAACACTATCTAAATAAAAAGCTTTGCAACCTATCAGGCTTACATGAAAAAATTGGCTTGCTACCAAATTTGTGTCAATATTGCTGCAAAGCAAAGTTCAGTGAATGTTTATCATCCCGATATAGATGAAGAAATAAGTGTTATTAAGAACTTTGACTCGACATTAAAGTATGTGACTTTTGAAGTTGTGCGAGACGATGCCACAAACAACATTTTGCAGGAGCCCCCGGCAGAACTTTTTGGTAATGTGTTTACGGACATGATGCAGAGTCGCTATGAATTGAAGTTCCCAAAGCCTAAAGAAGACTGTGACAGTGTGAAATTTACAGGTTTGTACTTATAACAACAATGATAATAAGTTATTAGTTAAGAAATTTTGACAAACTGTTCATAGATTTTGAGAAATGTCATGAATGTCGTACTTGGTACAATTTTGTAACAGTAACAATTCAGCCAATGGCAGCGAAGGTAAACACAATTCCAACCAATCAGCGATACGTAAATAAAGATGGCGGCCCCCATATCGACACGTTTTGTTAGAGGTACGAGTGTTAAAATGATGTCTATGAAATATGTTTGAGACGGAATACGTCAATATAATCACTTGTCAGACAGTACATTTATGTTCATGTTTAGTTTCGCTGCCTTGTTTATCAACACATGCTATGATTAATATGTATTGTGAGAAAATGATGTTGAATCTGATACGCAGATTTACAGAATTTCCGAAACTGTTTTGAAAATAATTAAATCATAAATAAGTAACAGTCTCGAGTATGTTTTCCCCTGCAATACACAAAATACGCTAGCGGTTAATAATGTTTTAATTATCTGATAGAATAACAGAGCTTTTGTCAAAAACGAAAGTGTGAATTGAGTATGCAGGTTGACATGATGTATTATTAAATATTAGCAAATACTTTTTGTTTTGTTTGAAATAAATTCACATCTAAGTTAGTCAAATGTAAAAATGGTTCAGCAAAAGACAAGTTGTACAACGACGTTTGTTCTTATATGCGGATGACAGAGGCTGACTTTCCACAACAGATGTCAGACAATGAAGTGGCCAAAAAGCTTTGGTGCATTGTTGATGCTTTGTGGTACATAAATGAAAATTTGGAGACAATAAATGAAAGAGCAAAACACCTGCCAGCTGTATGTCCAGTTCCAGGAAGGTATTTTTTGTATTATTACAGACATTTTTAACATTTTAAGTTTTCATTTAATAAGTCTGACTTGTCTTGTACAATTTTGTCTTTACTTAGAAGTGGTATTAAAACAGTGTCGGCCCATAAGTTTTGTTAGGCAATCAAAATTGCATGCAATACAGCGATTACTACTCCCTTTCTGTAACTAGTGTTTGATGGTAAACCTACACGTTATTTGTCATCATTCACTTGATGGTCAGTTAATGAATTTTTTTGACAGGTATAATTAGTGGTAACACCACTCAGATTACCTGACAAAGGTTCCCGTTTGGCATTTCTCGTGTCTGGAGTAACTACTGAACATTATAAATTAAGGTCTGATGTCGCAAATGTATTACATCTTATGTAATATGTGCATGGAAGTGCAGCAAGAGGGATTATCAGCTGAGTTACAAAAACAAACATCGATCAAAGGATTAACTGAAAACACGCTGATGGATTAATTGCCTTTACCTTGCACAGTGGATTTGTCAAAAGGTAGTGTTTATGTATGTAGATTTACTAATCTATACTGAATCGCCCTGTCGTAAAGTGCCTGTGTAAAAACAACGTCCTCCCTGCAAGGATTAACTGCCAATACATTGATTGATTGCTAACTAAATTACTTTGTTAAAGAATGGCAGACATCATGCAATTAGTTGCCAGGTGTGCTATCTTGGGTGACCAATCAGACTCTACATCAATGTGAAAAACCTGAAACGATATATCACTTTTTCGCATATTTGACTGATACAAGACACATGACATGGAGCAGGATTCTTTGTCAGCTGAAGGTGAATGGCTTGTCGTTCCCTTATGTGGATATTGATGGATACATTCCTCGAACAAGGTAGGATAGCCTGACATTGTTGCTGTAACTTTAGTCTGTTTTAATTTTAATATTTGGATTTTGTTTTTATTCATTTGTTGTAGCATTATAAGGAGTAGTATATATAATGATAGTCCGGGATCAAGTCCAACAAAAAGCCTCTGCAAAGCTTTATTTCACAAATAAAGCTTTTGTCAGGCCCTTATATCTCGCCACCATTGTATCTACTACTTTTGAACCCCCAGTTAACTCCCCGACCCCACGTGGCACTATTGTGACGCTATGATGTGTTGACCTCGATGAAACAGTTTAATGTGAATCGCCTATGATCTCTTTGGTGTTCGTAATAAAGGCTTGCTGGGCTTTTCGTACCCCCTGTTCTATGTACTTTTTTTTCTCGTCTTCGCTGATAGCAGACTTACGAGACTTGGACCGGATTTCTTGTTTCATCTTACAGTACTTGTCGAGTTCAGAGAGGATTGAGCGAAACTCCTCCTCCGAGATCTTACTGTCAGTGAATGCTGCTGAAATACGCTCACTTACCGTGTTCAGTTTTGCTTCAGCCAGAACCCTGATCTCGTCGTGTTTCAATGCCTTACGATGCAGTCTGCGTGATGCAAACTTAAGCACCAACCCTAACACCCCTGCCACCCCAGCTGTTATTTCAATGCCTAGCACTATAGGTGCAGCCACGATGGTAGCTAACAACCCAACACCTGCCGCCCCTAGTCCCATGCTGGTTGCCATAAGGGCAGTATCAGTCCCGTCCACGACATTGAAAGCCCTATGGTTCTTCTTATATAGTGCTTTCCGAGTGTCACGGTCTTGTTCTAGTTGGCGTTTTACATCACATAACTGTCTCAAGCGGAACCCGTCTACGGTTTCCAGTGTCTTCGCGACTTCCTCCACGACTGGGTACAGCCCCATCCTGTGTGCATATAATATATTCTAAAAAAGATCTTTAAATCGTACGACATTTAATTCTTGCACAGTGTATTTGAGGCTTATAAGGTTTAGATCATCGTACAGGGAAATAGGCGAGAGGCTAATAGGTAACTCTGCGTCTACACGAACATCATGGGGGCATCTTACTGAGGGGACTATAGAACCCGTTGAGGGGTCCGGTCGTATGATGATACGGCAACGTTGGTGCCTGCCTGTGACGCCCCAGCGTATTGTCACCCCGGGTAAAAGTTGCCGTTCTATATTATTAAGAACCGATCCGAGGTAGACTTCTATGGTGAGTGTGGAGCCTGGTTTCACAGTCATAACCGCCAATTGGGTATCGGGGACGTCAAACCTTAACTCGTCCTCCCGACCTGAAACAACTAACATGTTACTCGTGTGATCCCATGTTAGCTGAGTTATCCTATAGTTCGGATGGAAAACCCCAAGCAAGATGCCGTTGTTCCTAATTTCGGAGACCTCCCTATCTTTGTTTAACGAGATATAAGGTGCGGTGAGGGTCATGTTGATCAACCATTTGGGCTCTATAAAGTCGTCTGGCAGACGCTGCCGCACGTACACGCCTTTTCTTAAGGACAGGACGTACGAGGTGCCGTCCACGCCAGACAGATCGAACCCCCTTGTGCCTCCTAGGCCCCCGAGTGTGATTTTTGGTAGATGATCGGCCATTGCCGCCCGCCTATACACGTTGTCTTTGAAGTGTAGGACGTATGAGCCACCTTCCTCACCAGGCTGATCGAATCCCTCCATGTCTCCTAGATCTTTAAGTGTGGCGTTGGGGTGATGACTGGTCATTGCTATAATGCTATTACGAGATAATTTCCAACTGTTTTTCTGATAATAGTTCAGGGGTGCACTTCACCCCAATGAAGTGTATGTTGTC